GGACTTCCTGCTTTACTCTTTTTTGTGTGTGTGGTGGTTGTTGCTTTTGGGGCCACATCCGGCTGTACTTGGGGATCACTCCCGGTGGTGGACTGGGGACCATGTGCGGTACCCACATTGCATCTGGGCTGCTCTGTGCAAGGCACTCTGCTGCTTCATTCTTTTTTGTATGAGACTTGATCAAAGTTGCTCACAATACAGTTGTTTCAGGTGATCAGTGTTCCAACACCAGTCCCACCCCCAGTGTGCCCTCCCCTGCCCCCCGTATCCCATATCCCCAGTTTCCCATCCTGCTCCCTTAGCAGGCACAAAACAGTTTACTGTATATTGCTTGTTCCTCAGAGCTTATTGTCAGATAACCAAGAATTTCTACCTAGGTTCAATTTGAAGGGAAAATCTGCAAGATTTGCACAATCCTTCTTGTGTAAAGCAGATTTAGACTAGTTTTACTTTCTTTCTTTTTCTTTTCTTTTCTTTTTTTTTTTTTTTTGAGGCCACGTCAAACAATAGCATAGCAGATAGGGCGTTTGCCTTGCACGCGGCCGACCCGGGTTCGATTCCTAGGTCCTTCTCGGAGAGCTCAGCAAGCTACTGAGAATATCCCGCCCACGTGGCAGAGCCTGGCAAGCTCCCCGTGGTGTATTCTATATGCCAAAACCAGTAACGAGTCTCACAATGGAGATGTTACTGGCGCCCCCTCGAGGAAATCGATGAACAATGGGAGGACAGTGCTACAGTGCTCGTTTCAATAAGTATCTTGTAATGGGGGGGGGTGGAGCAATAGTAAATAGTCACATGCAAGGGCTTTTGTCTTGCATGTGGCCGACCAGAGTTCAATCCTTAGCATCAGCATCCCATACGGGCCCCCAAGCACTGCCAGCAGTAATTCCTGAGTACAGAGCCAGGAGTAAGCCCTGAGCATTGCCAGGTGTGACCCAAAAATGGCCAAAAAAATTATTATCTTTTATTTTTGTGATTGGGTGAAGGGATAGGTACTCGAACATTGTATGACTGAAACATAAGTAAGTAAGTAAGTAAGTAAAGGCCCTCCCGTTGATCGTCGATTTGCTCGAGCGGGCCCAGTAACGTCTCCATTGGAGACTTTGTTGTTACTGTGTCTGGCATATCGAATACTCTCGGTAGCTTGCCGGGCTCTCCGAGAGGGGCGGAGGACTGAAACATAATCACGAAAAAAAATGTAATCACGAAAGTTTTTAAGTGTAAAATAAATAAAAATTGTTATTTATTTTATTATTATTATTATTATTATTATTATTTGCTCGAGCGGGCCCAGTAACGTCTCCATTGGAGACTTTGTTGTTACTGTGTCTGGCGGATCTAATACGTCACGGGGAGCTTGCCAGGCTCTGCCGGGCGGGCGAGATACTCTCGGTAGCTTGCCGGGCTCTCCGAGAGGGGCGGAGGAATCGAACTCGGGTCGGCCATATTGGCTGCGTGCAAGGCAAGCGCCCTACCGCTGTGCTATTGCTTTTTGGGTCACACCTGTTGATGCACAGGGGTTACTCCTGGCGATGCACTCAGGAGTTACTCCTGGTGGTGCTCAGGGGACCATATGGGATGCCGGGAATCGAACCCGGGTTGGCCGCGTGCAAGGCAAATGCCCTACCCACTGTGCTATCTCTCCAGCCCCCCCAATAAAAAATTTTAAGAAAAGAAAAAAATCTTGTAATGGTGTTGCTAAAGTCCTCGTCTGAGGATTTCCTGAGCTATTTGGTGTGAGTTGAGCCTTCTGTGTTCTTGGTTTCACTCATTGAGCTGAGTAGGCTTCTGTGCAATTTTCCCGTCTGATTTTCCGTGCTTCTCCTGGGCTGTCGGCTCTGTGAGGTTTGGAGGTTTTTCTGTGGCCACATATGCGGCTATTCCCTTCAGGAGCTTTGGAGCTGGGGCCATCAGCGTCCAGTGTCTTGCTGGCCTCTCTGGGGTCAGCTGTGAGCTGGGCTGTTACTCGGGCAGCTGTGGGAGGGTGGAGCACTGGGCCTTTGGGAGGACGGGGACTCTGTCTGCCCCATCCTGAGAGGGCAACAGAGATCTGGCCCACCTGCGATAAATCTGTGCCTGCATCCACCTGATTCCTTTTGAAGTTGGTTGACTTTTCCTTCCAGCAATTGAGTTAGTTCAATGGTAATCGTCTGAAAAACTTTTCTTTCTTCTTCTTCTTCTTCTTTTTTTTTTTTTTTTTTTTTTTTTTTTTTTGCTTTTTGAGTTCCTGCCTTGGCTGGACCCCGGAGGTCTTCAGCTGTTGGGCCCTGGTGGAGACAGTCAGGCACAGGGTAGGAGACCACTCTCCACACACTTGGATGAGCCTCACACATAAAAGAACTGGCAGAGGAACCCAGGTGTGTGGGACCCGGGGCTGAGATCTCCAAGCCTGCACGGTTTGGGACTGGACCTGCCAGTAACTAGACAGTTACACCCACCAACTGCCGTGTAACTCCAACAACGGCCAGGATCCAGAGATTATCACACTCAGCTCCCAGAAGCGCGCGGCCACGAATAATAATGACATCTTATCATCTCATTCCTACTTTGGACAAACTGGCAGGCTACCAAATGTAACCTGCCCACACGGCAGAGTCTAGCAAACTCCCCGTGGTATACCCAATATGCCAAATACCAGTAACAATGATGGGTCTCATTCTCCTAACCCTGAAAAAGCCTTGAATATGGCACTTTTTAAAAAAAAAAAATCTCAGGGCTAAGACGAAGAAGACGTTACTGGCACCTGCTCGAGGCAATCGACGAACAACAGGGTGGTCGTGATCGTGATCGTGAGTTCCTGCACCCAGGAACTCCTCCTGGTGGTGCTCAGGGGACCATATGGAATGCCAGGGATTGAACCCGGGTTGGCCGCATGTAAGGCAAACACCCTCCCTGCTGTACTATCACTCCAGCCCTGTTGTCAGAAACATTGATTTGAGCTCCCCATCAGTGAGGCTGGAGGAGGTTTAAATGAGCTCTGTGTTCTGCCAGGACTTCTGTCCCCGTCTGACAGAGCAGGGGCAAGAAATCTTTCACTCACCATTATTCCTAAAGATTTGTTGGCACTAAAATTTGAGTTTAGGATGCCAGATATTGAGATCTGACCCAATTTGTCATTTTTCAGCCAGCAGTATTCTTTATAATCCGTTAGTCTGACCATACCCGTGCACATAGGATGTTACGTCACTGCTCATACAGTTCAGTCTCTGATCTATCCATTTGTACAGTCTTAAAATAGACACATTTGAGGAGAAAGAAAAATTCACGAACCCTTGAAACTGGGGGTACGAAGGGATGCTGTTGTAGCATGGATGTGTCCATGCAGTTTTGGGTTCCCGAGGGCTGGGAGGAGGAAGGTTGAGGGTCTAGGGGAGCAGAGGACGGTGCGAGACTGGCTGGGCACTGCGCCTTCATTTATTTATTTATTTATTTATTTTAACTATCAAGGGAAATTGCGGAGTTAGGGACAAGAAACAGAATTGAGGTAAGAGCTGTGTGAGATGGCACAGAGCTTGGCCCAACATGTGCTACTTTCTTAGCGAAGTCTAATGATAAATCAGGCTTCTTCGCTATAACAGGTACAGAAGATACCCAGACTAAATTAAGACATATTTCCTCGTGTTTCATAGACACTGGCAGTTCGAATGTTTTCTTAGGCTGGTATCTGAAAGTTTAGTGAAAACCAAGGGCTTCTTTTCATGTCTGAAAGCATACATTAGTTTTTGCTTCAGTTTGGAATTATTACATCTGGGAAACTTATGATTTGAAATAATGGATGAAATAAAAAAAACTGGTTTAAAGAGCAACATTTTTTTTGAGATATACATTTCTAAAAAGGTTATAAATTTGGATATAAAGTTTTACTAAAAGCCTAGCAAGCTCCCTGTGATGTATTCGATATTCCAAACACAGTAACAACTAGTATCACAATGGAGACGTTACTGGGCCCACTTGAGCAAATCGATGAACAGTGGGAGGACAGTGACAGTGACAGTGATTTATTTGGAGAGCCCGGCAAGCTACCGAGAGTATCTCGCCTGCACAGCAAAGCCTGGCAAGTTACCCGTGAGGTATTCAATATACCAAATACAGTAACAAGAAGTCTCACAATGGAGACGTTACTGGGCCTGCTCGAGCAAATCGATGAACAACAGGAAGACAGTGCTACAGAATTGAATCACCATGAGATAGTTACAAGATTTCATGTTTGGGTTACAATCACACAATGATCAAACACCCATCCCTCCACCAGTGCACATTCCCCACACCAATATCCCCGGTATACCCCCCCTTTCCCACCCTCCCCCAGACTCCATGGCAGACATGATTTCCCATAATCTCTCTCTACTTTTGGGCATTATGGTTTGTAATACAGACACTGAGAGGTTATCATGTTTGGTCCTTTATCTTCTTTCTGCACACATCTCCCATCCCGACTGATTCCTCCAGCCATCTTTTTCTAAGTGATCCCTTCTCTATTCCAGCTGCCTTCTCCCCTTTGCTCATGAGGCAGGCTTCCAGCTATGGAGCAATCTATCTGTCCCATGTATCTACTATCCTCAGCTGTCAGCCTCATGTTATGTTATTTTATACTCCACAAATGTGTGCAGTCCTTCTATGTCTGTCCCTCTCTTTCTGATTCATTTCACTTAGTATGATACTCTCCATGTCTATCCATTTACAAGCAAAGTTCATGACTTCATCTCTTCTTCATTCCTTTTAAGAGTGGAATCTGAGACTCCTGGATTATGTTTGCACCGGGTGGGCCCGGGGTGCAGAGAGCTCCTCTCTCTGGGCCAGGAGTCCTGCCATCTCGGTTGCCCAATCCCCAGCCTCCCGTTCTGTGTCAGCAGATGTGGCTGCAGCTGTGTGGGCGGAAGGGCGGGTACCTACTGTAGCCCATGCATGTGGAGCTCTGAGCAGCGGCCACAGCCCCGGTGGCCGACCAGCCCCCACCCTCGCCCTGCCGGGGGTCACAGTGTCTCGCTCTGTCTCTCCAGATGCAGGAAAAGGCCAAGGACATCTACATGACCTTCCTGTCCAGCAAGGCCTCGTCTCAGGTCAACGTCGAGGGCCAGTCCCGGCTCAATGAGAAGATCCTTGAAGAGCCACACCCCCTGATGTTTCAGAAGCTCCAGGACCAGGTACCCTGAGTCCCCCAGGCCCCCCACCCCGACTTACACGGGCTTGTGTTCCACAAATGCTTGGCAGTGTGTACAGAAGATGCTCTGCCAGAGATGCCAGGCTGGGTGAAGGAGAGGCCAGGGTGCCAGGTGCTGGGCTGGCCTTTCCTCCAGACCTGGGGACACACAACCGGGACCCAGCGGGTAGACACATGACTGTGGGTCCCGTGTCTCGCCCCAGCTGAGGAAGGAGGCCAGGACTGAGGGACCCCTGGTTATGGTGGGTTGTGGTGACTGCTGCAGAGAGGGGCTGGTGGAAGGATCTGGAAAGTAGAGCCCCCTCCCCGCCCCCCGGAGCTGTTCTCCTGTAGGTCTCTGAGCATGGCCACCACCATCCAGTGGCCGGTGTCTGGAAGCTTGTAAGGAGACGCCCGAGTCACAGTGCAAAAGGTTGATTCAGCGGCAGATTGCACTGAAGGGAAAGCTTAGGTTCAAAGTCAGTGGCAGGGAGAGGTCAAAATCGTACAGCACTCAGTCACGGGAAATTGAGTGTTATTGATTTATTTTCTGACAGTCCCGTTTGTCATCCCTTTGAGTTTCGTTGGAGCAAGCAATGTGAAAGAAATTTGTTAGATGCCCGCCTAGGGGGCAGCCTTGGGGGCAGGAGGAACCTGGGAATTGGTGCACGGAAGGTCATCGGGAGGTGATGGGATTGGCCCTGGAGCAGTATATGCCTGAAACGCCTCTCTTGTAAACAACTCTGTAAATCACAGTGTCTTAGTAAAAATGAATTTTTAAAAAGTGGACAGGCCGGGAGAGAGAACTCAAAGGGCTGGGCACAGGCTTTGCATGCCGGAAGCCTGGGTTTGATCTTGGCACTGCATGGCTCCCTGGCTGGGCACCACCAGAGGAACCCCTGAGCACTGAGCTGGGAGTAGTCTTTGAGTACTGCAGCATGGGGCCCCCAAATCAGAGCAAACAAAATTACTAGCCAGGCTCCACCCGAGAGGGACCCCCGCCCCTGCCTGGAAGCTGAGCTTTGCTTTGCAAAAACATTTTAGGGGGGGCTACGTTGTAGGTGTTGAGGCTGCCCTTTGGAAACTCGGGGTGCAGAGCTTTGGGTAGCCGTAAGATGTTTGTGCAGGAGCTACTCCCTGGTCTGACTGTCCAGAATCTGGGCCCAGTGGCTGGGGGCCGTCAGGACCCAGCGGTGCAGAGGGCTCTGTGCTGCCGGAATTAAACTCAGGCCTGTGCTGAGCAAATGCTCTGACCCTCACGCCATCCCCCTCGTCCACTTTTTGGTTTTGCTTTTAAATCACTTAGAGGATTTAAGTGCCCGGCTTCCAGGAAGCCTCACCTGTGCTCAGCAGAGATGGAGAACAAATACCAGACAGCAAGAACAAATGGAAGCTTAGCACATTTTCTAACTGACACTGTGCAGAGCATCTCCCTCAAAAATTCTGAATCAGATTTGGGGGTTGGAGTTCTAAGAAGCTCAGGGGACTGGAGGTAGTGATTTTTTTTTAAATGTGTGTGTGTGTGTGTGTGTGTGTGTGTGTGTCTGTGTGTCTGAATGCACACAGGAAGGGTTTCCTGGTCGTGGGTTTGTGGAGGCAAGTGGTGGAACGCACTGGGAGGTAGCAGCTCTCATGACCATGGCCACCTGCTCCCAGATCTTAGAGTCTTTTTTGCATTGTTGTGGGGGCCACACTCTGCGCTGCTTGGGGGCTCCTAGCGTCGTGTATGATGGTGGGTGCTGGGCTGTGAAGTGCTGGGATCGGATCCAGGGCCTTACGCGGCGTGTGCTCCACACTTGGGCCACTTCCTCAGACCTTTTAGAATTTTTTTTCATTTTCGTTTTGTTTTTGCTTTGTTTGAGGGGCCACCCCCACCAGTGTAACTAGCTAACTAACTAGCTCTGTACTCAGGCATCGCTCCTGGTAACCTCAGGGCACCATATGGGGTACCAGGGATCGAACCCGGGTCGGCCGCAGGCAAGGCAGATGCCCTACTCGTTGTGCTGTTGCTCTGGCCCTGCTTTTAGAATTCATTTGTGTGCCGTGTCAGGGGTCAAGCACAGGGTCCGACATGAAAGGCAGGTGCTGTGCCACTGAGCCCCGTCACACCCACGGCCCAAACTCCAGAAGCGTTGGGAAGCTTCCTACAGGGCTTTAAAGTACAGCCCAGGGGTTGAGAACCTGTCCCTGCATTGGCGGCGTCTCGGTAACGGGGATTCTGCGCCATGGCATGCTTCCTTGCCCATCTTCCGTGATCTCTAGGGCGCTGTGTTACCCTGTCATGCTGATGACAAGAGCATCCTCCCAGGGCACTGACTGGTTGGGCAGCCCAGGGCAGGGGCCAGCCCGTCACATGAGCCTTGCTCCACCTGGGGAGACCAGCAGCCCCTGCCTGCGGCCCCCACCCCACTGTCCGGGACGGGCAAGATGGACCCGTGGGCTCCCCAAGGCTCCAAGGTCAGAGTCCCCGTGTCTCCACACAGAACTAGACTCATGTGAGGCGGGCACTCACCCGCGAGTCCTCTATGGACGCGGAGCTGGCACAAAGGAGGGAAACGTGGAGGGAAAGACTCACCCAGCTGTGAATCCAGTATCATCTGCCTGTGCCTGTAGGCTTTTGGCGGAGGCTTCAGAGAACTGCTCCGCAGAGCCGAGGAAGCGTCGGTTCTGATGGGAGAAAAAGGCAGAGCTCATGGGGCCAGCTGGTGGTGTCCTTTCAGGGGAAAACCAGGCTGAGGCCGTGGGCAGGTAACCACAGTTCTGCCCCCAACGCTGCCTGGTCCCCAGGTACCACAGGGAATGACCCTTCCTCCAGCATCACCATAGGACACAAGCCCGACCCCCAAAGAAAGTAAAGGGGGAACCATACACTAGATAGGGAAGTTTGCTTGCCCTGTGGACCAGCATCCAATCCATCTTGGAGAAGTTTGGCCCTGCCATGTCCCTGAGCTCCCCTGCGGGTGTCCGACCAGATGCTGGCTTCCTGCAGGCTACATAGTGGCCAGGCACAGAAGGACCCACCTATGTTCTACACATCTCCTGGCCCCTGACTGCTCTGCCATTTTTGTTCTGTTATCGTGGTGGTGGTGGGGGGGGGGGGGGGGCTGGCAGTCGTACTACTCAGCCACATTGCAATTTCATGATTTGTTTTGTTTGGGGGGGCCACACTCAGTGGTGTTCAGGGAGCACTCCTGGCTCTGTGCTCCGGGAACACTCCTGGCGGTGCTCAGGAGACCCTGTGGGGTGACGAGGATGGAACCTGGATGAACCTCACGCAATGCAGACACCTTGCCTGCTGGACTATCGCTCTAGTCCCAATGTCATGGTTGTCACTATCACTGTCTTCCCGCTCGAGCAAATCGATGAACAATGGGAGGACAGTGAGAGTGCCAGTGACAAGCATGACATTGGGACTTGAGCGATAGTCCAGCAGGCAAGGTGCTTAAAAGAAAAATATTTTAATTATTTGGGCTCGAAAAGATAGAATGGCAGGTGAGGCGCTTACTTTGACCATAGCCAACCTGGGCTCCATACCTGATACTACCTAGGGTCCCCTGAGACTCGCCAGGAGTGATCCAGAGCACAGAGCCAGGAGTAAGCCCTGAGCACAGCTGGGTGTGGCCCTAAACTCCCAAATAAATAAATAAATAAATACATTTTTGTTTAATTGGGGCCGGAGTGGTAGTACAGTGGCTAAGGTATTTGCCGTGCATGTGGCCAACTTGGGTTTGATTCTCAACACCCCACATGGTCCCCGAGCCCACCAGGAGTAAATCCTGAGTGCAGAGCCAAGAGCGTATCCTGAGCATCACTGGGTGTGATCCAAAAGCAAACGAACCAACCGATCTCCAGTTTAATTGTTACAGTGTAGGTCACTTATTTGCAACATTTGCAACAAATGTGCTGACATTTACGGTTTTACACCTTTCCACCACCAAAGTGCCCAACCCTCCACCACAGCTGTTCTGTCATTTCTAGTCCCCCTGTCATTCCCTGCCTAGTTGCTCTCCTGTCAGTTCTTGTAGGCAGGGCCAAGGGCTTCTTAGTGTCTGATACTGTTTATCCCTTGCTTGGTATCTCTGCAGACCACAAACCAGTGAGATTGTTTGTTCTTTGTCCTCCCTCTGACTAATTCAGCTTCCATGAACCCTCCAGTTCAGTCTGAGCTGAGCAAACTGTAGATCCCTTCATTTCTCATAGCTGCATACTACTCCACCGTGGGTCTGTATAGCAAACCTCTTTTTCCCTTCATCTAGCGTTGAAGGTCACCCCTGGCAGTGCTGGGGGTGGGGAGCAGGGAATCTGCAGTGGCACGGAGAGGGGTGCAGGTGGGAAGGTCACGTTTATTGCTAAGGGCAGCCTGAGGCCATGGCTCGGGGCCTGAGCCAGCAGGAGCAAGTGGGAAGGAGCTGGGGCCGCCTTAGGCTTTCCTCGATCCTGGGACTCTGGGGCCTGGGGGGACAGCACGGAGGTCAGGCACGTGCTTTGCCTTCAGGGCACTCTGTCTCTCCCTAGCACCTCTCGGCCTCCTGAGCTTCACTGGGATAGCCCTGGACATCCCTGAGCACCTCAGGGACCACCTCGGTGCCCCCCATAAAGGCCCCAGCAGTAGCACACTCCTGGGTCTGGGTGGCCGAGTAGCACCGGGAGTGACCCCTGGGCCCCTGAGCTCTCTCGGGTCCCCAAGATGATAGAAGGGCAGATTTGGGGCCCTTGCAGGCCGACCTCCCCCCGGCTGAGGCAATGGGGGTTAAGTGAGACCTGGGGAGGACATAGACTGGTGGAGGCGCCACCCCCCCACCAGAAGGAACCCCCAAGCCTCCCCAGACCCCAGGAAGTGAGAGGCGCCTCCTGACCTGACACGGGGGGGGGGGGGGCGGTGGATGGAAAGGAGCTGGTGAGCACCAGTCATGGGGAGGGGCTCCCGGCCTACAGGGGTCCCGCGGGGCCCCTCCCCCCTGACGTCGCTGTGGCTGGGACACCCGGTGTCTCGCGCTTCCCTGG